ATATGGAAAAAATTTGAGAAGCTATCTGCAGAAACAGATTTTGCTCCGTCACCTTTAGGCTGGACAAGAAAATTTCCTTAAAAGCGGATTTATCAAAATGGACAAAGTGGAAGTAGCTGGTACATTTAAAGATGCTCGTTGTAAACTGGGAAGTATTTCGACAACAATACTATTCCAATAAGAAGTATATAAATGATCTCGTCTTTTCGTATTTTTTTTGTATGCACGTGTATGTAATGTATTATATACGTCTGTGTATGCAGAAAACATTAAGCGGCATAAGTAAGATATTAGAAGCAAAAATTGCAATTGAAGAGAAACTCTATGTGAATTTTGTTAGAGCTTTACGATCAGAAAAAGAAGTGACATGTCAATGCTCAACACACTCGTTTGATTAACAGTATGTTAATCTTTTTAACTTGATTCATCATTGATTTCACATCCAGAAAATGAGTGCAACATCTGCAACTAGTGTTTTTCATTCCATCATCAATTTACAGTAATAATCATCTGACCAAGGCCAGTGGAAATCTCAAAATACATTATATTTATTGCTAAATGTGAAGTCCCTCATCACTTCGATAATGCCACAAATCTTGTAACATTGTCATTATGTCTCAGCTTCGATTTGTGTATAAATCAAAAAGGAATTGCAAATAATGTAATGCTAAATCTTCTCCTATACTAACACTCAGACACAATTAGATTTATACTTCAATCAGTGATGCTGCTGCTGCTTTTGATAATGTCAGAGACATTTGAAGAAAAACTACATTAGTACTTCGGAAAATTCCGATCCTTTTCCCAGATTTCATGATCATGTGCTATATTTGTTTACACTTCGTAAATTATAATTAACTTTGTAACAATTTTTTTGCAAAATTATTTCTTACCCAACAAATTCAATCAAGAAGACTTCTTTTACAAATAGTCTTTTACAAATACAAGACAAAATCTTTACAAATACAAATAGTCTTTTACAAATACAAGACAAAATCTTTACAAATACAAATAGTCTTTTACAAATACAAGAAGACTTCTTTTACAAATACAAATAGACTATCCTTGATGAATCATAATTATAGTAGAATTCGTAAAAAAATTATGGTAAAGCAGAATTTCCATTAAACTTTGTGGTCTCATTGCTTTTTCTTCTATTTTTGAAAAACCTTCACGCAACAGGCGTAATGAGATGCAAAAAAATTTTACAAGCACATAATTCACAGCTCATTATTTCTTATTCACTATTTGTATCAAACCGTCATCACACCATATTTGCTTGCTTTAAAAATGATTTCAGAAATTCAGGATATGTTAAATCGAACATCACCGATACAATCATTTTCCAACTCATTTTTGCATTTCCAAGTTTATTTTTTCATTTATATACTTGGAAACATTGGTATATTTGAAATAAATGTTTTTAACAATGGCTTATTGAAATATTCATTTCAGCAAATAAAATAAAATTTTATGAAATTTGCAGTGAGGCATGCATTTAAGGTTGGATTACTTATCACATACATTTTTGATAGATAATTTTTTAATTAAAAATCCTCCAACTAATAGTGAGTTTCACAATTTGCATCATTTGAATTAATGACCGCAAATTAGGAAGAAGTTAAAAAGTAATAATACAATTTAATAAAAAATAGTTTGAAAATAGAATTAAACAATTTTCTAATTGAACTTATGGTTAGGTATAGCGAAACAAACTAATGAATGACATGTTGCATAACAATTCGCTCAAAGACTACAAAGTTTGATTTTAGATCATCCAATGTGAGTAAACAGCAGTATATTTGCAAATTCAAGCTTTTCTTCGCAATGTATAGACAATGAAGTGATGCATGAAAATTAATTTGCAATATTCATAAAAGTGATTTAAATCATTTCGGAACCGTTAAATTTTTCAAAATAAGTAATTAAAGAAGCAGAGATATTTATTGTTTGAACAATATTATTCTTTGAATGCTCTGTTTGTAAAAAGTTATTTCTTTTGGTTTTTCCCAAATCCTTTTTGCTTACTCTTTTTTTGCTTTCTAGCCTTTCTTTAATGCTGATAAGACTTATTATTCAGACTATTTAACTTGAAATTTGATTCATGACAAAGTTTAAATCCATTCGATATTTTAAAAGCATTTGACAAAACTTTCAATCAGCTAATTAGCATAAAAATAAATTCATCGCTAAAACAAATAATTTTATATCGGCGTCAACTGGCAGAATATCAGCTGTCGCATGATTCCTATTGGCTTCATATTCTTAGGAGAACTTTTCTACTAGGAGTTCAACCTTTTGCTCTATGTGCGGAAAAAAAACTAAAATGTAGAGAACGAAAATAGAAAACGGAATTTGTTTCGTCTCACCTAACCATTAGCTAGAAAATAATTCTATTTGTTCTTGCCGGTAGATTATTTGTTTCGATTCTTTGATAAAAACTGATGATAAGTTATTTATTGCCAATCTCGAGTTCAGAACATTCTTCATTGAAATGGAGGTTATTAGCAAAATATAAAATGCTCATTGATCGATAAAGTTAATGCATATTTTGCGCAGTTTCTTTTCCTTTCTTTCCATCAAATGATAAGCATAAATTAAATTGACAAATTTCATTGACAGCTGCAATTCTTTTTTAGGCAAATGACATAAAAAAGTGGTTGGACAATGAGATTTATAGAAATTCGATTAATGACACCTATCATGGCTGCAATCAAGTTCACTACATAACTAAATCAGATGCAAGCAAGCTAACTGATGGATGCAGCTGTTAACGTGATCAATCTTCTGTATAATATCATCTGCTATATCTCATGATCACCTCAATAGGAGTAATTGTGTATGTATTACAAATACAGCGCTCATCTAGAAATTTCCAGTCTAATGGTTTAATTTATTATTCGGTTTACTTTATTTGATTTTTTTGATTTTTTTTTGAAAAATTTCAAGCAGGTTTGCTCATGTATTTAGTAATCTTGTTCGTTGTTCTGTTCATCTCAATATTTTTCTTGTTGCTACTCCTCAGAATCCTTGATATAATCAAAGTTTAACTTTTATCTGTCTATTTTCTATGCAGATTGTGTTATACGCTGCCAGAAAAAAAAAAGATCTGAAATTTATTTAATCAGAAATTTAGCAAAACTTCGAATAAGACTTAAATTCTCTTCAAACAGATTGGATAACAAAAGCAGCTTTTGAAGCTAACTTATTCAAAATTTCAGGTCTCAGGACTTTCGGCTGATGCAATGTGTAGAAGCTAATTGGTGTCCGATGAAAAGCCGAAAACAATTAGTTGTAATTTAGAAAAGAGCAGTAGCGTGATAGAAAGGAGTGTATTAGCACATTCGGCTTTTCTAAAACTCCGCTATTATAATTCCTAATAAAACGTTCGGCATTGCTATCTTATCTTCCTTCTAAATTAGAATTCCATCAATCTCCCTCATTAGAAGGATTAGAAGGATATTGCATTACTACGAAGAATCCAAATTCACTTCTCTTTTCTCCACTTTACACAGCCTACTCCTGTAATTGCGAAGGAACGACTCAACGAGGAAATGATCCATCTGCAGGTCAAATTTAATTATCCTCTCCAAACGATTATGTGGAGGAAAGGTTAGTTTAATGTACGATTGCGTTGCTTATGCGTATATTGAACGTCATCAAGTACTAAGTAAATGAATGCGAACAAAGAATCAAAAATGGGAAAAGATGTTGCAGAATGAGTGACGACATCATTGATATCACGAGAGCGCAATAGCTGCTGTTATAGAGTAAATTATTGAAGTGTTGATGCGTGTCGCGTCTTTACTCTTCCTTCCATTCTGATAAACTGCACTCAATAGATTAGATGTCTGTTTGATTGGGGCAGCTTCAGCATTGCCAAACGGCAGGGGAAAAGGCTACACGCATGCGGCTCCGGGGTCCGGTCCTTTATGGGTAGTCAACAGTCGCAACTGCTCAATCGACAGCAGCAACAGCTTGGCCGACGTCGGCAACATCGCCACTTTCATCATTTGTTTAAGAAGCAAGCAAGCATCCGTCATCTGGAACGTTCTTCAACATCATTTTCAATGAACAAGTAAGCCCATATTTAGTGCTCCATTAATGTTCAGAAACCTTTTTTACTCCTTTACCATTGCTTGATGGATTCTTATTTAAATTCTATTTCAGCTTTCTGATTTTCTGAATCTATCTACTACTTTCTTGTCAAATTATTTCATCATTATCTCATATACATGAAAATTGGATAAATACTTTCAAAGGAAGAGTTTATTGCTTGTTTATTATATTGTCCTTATTTTTAATTAATCATTTGATATCAGCATATCTTTATATGGAATGCCCGACAATAATGCTTGGTAGTATTGGGATTCTCATCCTCAACTTCATTTCACACCTTTACAAGTGATCCTAATTTATGGAAGAGAATAAAAAGATGGATCGGATATCATGCAAGACTACTTTCTCGTTATTACGCAGATTTGATCGCAGACCTCATGAACTTCTTTGTGGTGAATCTGCCACTTTTAAAACTCATTATGTCGTTTTTTTACACCGTTATTGTCTTGTTGGAATAACTGTTATTTTGTAAAATGTCCAATTTAGATTTTATGAGACTGATTTAAACGAGTTGAATGATTATTTCTCTTGCATACCAGTCCAGCGTTATTGGTTAATATTTCAGAAGAATAGCGTGGTTTGAGGTGCCGATCCTTATTTTGCATTTGTTACATCTTTTAGGTTACTGGGTATACTTAAATAATGATGGGTCCGATTGCGCCCATTTTGTACCACCACATAATGGAATCCTTATAATCAATCAAGCATGTGCAAGATCTCAGTCTCAGTTGTTTGTTGTCTTGTATAATTTCTGTAGAATAATGAATTATGGAACTAAAATTCGTAGAAATTTTGATGTTTGTCTCAAGCCGAAAAATCTCGTTTGTTTGTGCTATGTCGTATGTTTCATTAGAAAAGAAAAAGAAATCCTTCAAAATAGTTCATCATAGCTGACAATGGCCGGCAAGTTTGCATAACGATTAGGAAGCTTTAAACATTCCAAGAAAATGCTGAAGTTTGTTAGTTGGCTTAGAATGAATCACTTCTAACTTCGCATGATTAACTAGCAACCGGATAGAATAGATGTGCTTGCAACCGTATCACCAGGTGAGACTCATATATGGGTAGCCCAAAGACCATATCAACACTGAAGCGACTTGACAGACATGACTCTTAGTTAATGCATGTTTTTTAGTCATAATTTTGATTTATGGAAGAATATGTCTAAAATAAATGTAAATAGCCACATGGAAAAGATCCTAGATTGTCGGAACAAAGTTTGAATTAATTCAGAGGCATATTTCACTTAATTGATCGAAAGCTCTAAAAACGTTCCACCACCTCTTGCAAATATTTCATCCATTAGAAAGCCTAAAAATCTGAAAATAAAATGTTCTCATTACTCATACCACGTTCTTCCTGATATTTTTAATAATAATCAAGTTTATGCTTATACATATTCACTCAAATTTTGTGATAATTTCAACAAACTGATTATTTCTTTTCTAATCAATTTACCAATTGTGCAATGAGCGAGTATGTAGAAGCATAAAAAGTTTACTTTATAAAATTATTTTGAAAATCGTAACGGTTTGAACTCGTTGTTTATAAATAAATATTCTGGACACACCTTTGAAACCTTATCGTTAGAAAGTGGTAGAAGTAAACGTCGGTGAAATATTTAGTATTTATTCCTAATTAAGTGACTCCTTCTAGTTGCTCCGATGTTAGTTCTGTTTATTCCAGTAACCGTTAAATGTTTTCCAAAATGCTTCCACATTGCACCTACCATATCATCATTGGGTATACACCGCTCTGCTTCGTACAATTGTTCACTTCAATTTTGTTATTTCGTGATCTTTTCGTGTTTTCCTACAATTTACTTATGATAGTGTTAATCAACTTTGCTATCTCAATCAAAGAAAATTGTTATTATTATTATTATTACTATTATTTATTATTGCGATTTATTACTGTTATCATCGTTATCATTATTTAAATTGCTCTTATCATCATTATCATTATCATTACCGCCATAACATGAAATGCTTAAAGTTAAATGCAATTCCACATTGAGTGGATTGCCTATTATTTTTTTCGCAATTTTTCGGAAATTCAATAGTCCCTGTGTAGAATTGTCCTTCATTCATTTTAATCCCTTCACAAGTCCTTTTGTATCCCTAAATTATATACAAATGATATTAAGTTATGATTTTTCAATGAGTGCACAATGTATCAATTACTATGTTTATAACTAATAACTGGATGGACCACTGCAAACACACTAACTTATTCAACGTTGGTTTCAAGAGAAAGAATGTACACATTGTCTATCCTTCATTTGATGCCATTGACAAGTTCTTTTTTATCCTTTCTCTTCTTAACTTCTCCATCTTTACATAAACTAAAAATTTTTATTTTCAGCTGCACGATTGTTGTTAATTTAATCATACTTTAATAGGTTAATTGCGTATTAAATTTGTTTTGGACACAAATTTTCTTCCGATCTGATAAATCGCTAGCTAGTTTGGTAGCTATTGATTCTTAGCTGGCTGCAACACATTAATTAGCACACCGTTACATTTCAGAAGTAAAGCCTTAAATCACTCACATAAAATTCAGTGTTTTTTTAACATTGATTTTGTTTTTAAAATTGAACTACTTTAAATTAGTCCCAATGCTTTTGTGTGTCGCTGGAAAAAAGTAATCAGTTCAAAGTAGTAATAAACAAGTTGGCCAAGGATAAGGAAATACTCATTTAATATCCAGTTATTAGCTCGTTGGAGAATTTTACGAGAAATTACAAAAATTTTATGTTATGCAGTCATAAATATATGATTATGTTCGTAAGCATATTTTACTTTGGTAGAAAAATATTTTGCTGCAATTTTCTGCAATCTTTCTTATCCTTTTGAAAATTTGAAAGTTTGAAGTGAGCTTGAATTTCACTTAAATCATATTTTTTAAATTTAGATTTTAGTAATGCTAAGGAAAAGAGAAAAAGGGGAAATGAAAGGGTGCAACATATATGAATTTAAAATAATACTATATACAGTTTATTGAGCGAGCAGAATGGGAGAGAGAATAATATATGGACTTTATTTCTGCTACCCATCGTCAACATCATATTTTTGATCATACTATCGCTGGCGCAAATAAATTTTTGTTTAGCCATCGATATCTCAGTGGTAACGTACATTTTGATTCTTTGTTAATTGATTTAATCTATTTCTAATTCATTGCTATTCGCTTTTTTTAAATGTCTTCTTTAAATTTAAAGAATTTTTTTTTTTAAATGTCTTCTTTAAATTTATTAGGTCAGCACATCTTTTGATGGTGTCAACATATGAGCTTGAGTGAGGGCGTAAGGTCATAATGCCAGCTAGTTGAATATTTAGTGAGTTAGTCCGTTTGGCCTTTTTTTTTCGACTTGTTAAAGTTCAATGAACCATCTGTTACGTTGCATTTCGGTATCAGTCTTCCACTGTCTTTTACCTCTTACCTTCATGTGAGGATAAAACTGTGATGCAGTATTTAAAGGTCGTTAATTAATTGTGGTTATCTAGTAGCCACCGATTTGTTTTCATAAAGGTATACCATTTCTTGAAAAGAATCATATGCCTGAAGAAATAATTGATAAAGATTTTCATTAATTTAATCAATTATTCTATTTATAAATAATGCATAAACATGCCATTTCTTTCCTGACTAAATTCACGGAATTTCCAAATTTTCAAAATTATTTCAATAGTTTTGACAAAGAACTTAATTTCATTTTTCCATTATCGATCAGTTTTCATCTTCATCTTAAAATCGAATTTGATCCATCTTAACAATCTCTGTATCCAAAAAGAAATTTCTGATTTCTTGACAAATATATAAGTATTTCATGAAGATAAGCCGTCAAACAGTGCCGTAAAACAATGCTTTTCTATTTTCGAAGACAAATTGTTTAATATAAACATGAAATGAAATGCTTGAGTGGCGATAGTGTGGTCAGCAAGTCAAGTAGTAGTTCATTTCAGCATGATTGTGATAGCTTATCTTCTGCAAGCAATTTTCTTGGTTATTGGAAGTCATTTTAGATACCTTTTCGCTCTATCCCCTAATACTTCGATCAAATCAAAAGCAATGACTTTTCAGAATTTATCGTTCGTCTTCGCAACCATATCCTTATCCACGTACTCATACACTCATTGTTGTTCCACCATCACGGCCAATTGTGGAGAGTAATGCCGAAGAAGAGCATACTAAAATGCGACCATCATTGAATCGTACCATACCACCGATACCGGAATCCAAATCCAATGATTCAATTATAACTCATACATCGGAAAAGCGCATTGAAAATCATGCTGAATGCGAACCTTCAACTTCCAGAACCCTTCGGGTACCATCATGTGTTAAATCTAAAGGAGAAGCTGTTGGATCATTTACTGCCAAAGTAAATTCAAAAATAGAATATTGTGAACCTAATCTCTGTTAGAGTTTAATATCATCAAATCTACAGCAAATTGGACAATAAATAAACAAAGCGATAAATGGTGCCCCCGCATAAGCCATTGGTCTAGTTCTTCTAAACTCAATTTAAATTTAGAAAGTATTTCTAGCGGAAGGTATATAAATAAGCAGTAATTCAACCTTTTTCCTTTTCATCTCTACTTCCCTTTATATTTGACTTTTAAGTTTTTGAAGCATTCTTTATTGAAAGCATTTTAGAACCAAAATATTCTTTTTGACATAAACATAAAAACAGTAATGATATTAATACTTGATTTTAAATTTAACTTCTCAAGAAATACTGTTTTCATGAATTTCTCATGAATTTATCGCATTCACAAATTTATTTTTAAAATTTTAGAAATTCTAGTTGAGAACCTTTACAAATTTTTCTAAGAACTACAGATGTCTTCACAAAAGATCGAGAGCGATGGATCATTAGTTATTGAAAATACAATGACGCGTAGTTTGGTAACAAAAAGTGCATTAATCGCTTCTAATGGAAACAGACGATCAGAAGGTATGCCGCGGAGTCCATTGATGAGTGTGGCTGATTCAGTGCGATCAAAGCTTACAAAACTTGGAAATCGTTTCAGTCGGTCAGATGGAAATCGAAGTATCCGTACCAGTACCAGCTTATCTAGGTAAACATTGACAAATTCAAGTAGTTTTCCAACAAATTTTTAAAAAATAGTGTGATCTTGTTGCATTCTTCAAACCGGATTGATTGGATAAAATCAGTTCTAAAGCTATTTGAATTTGGATGAAAAGTTTTTTATTTTTACTATTTGTGTTGTTTTCTAGGTGGTTATTAGATTTCCAAGATGGTGGAAGTAGGAAAGAATTTTGAGATAGTTTGAAAATTTTCAGAACTTGCATTTCTCACTATTTGCTGCTTCTATTGTTTCTCTGTTGTTATCATACATCACATCGCTGTGATATTGTTCCAGTAGTGATATGAAACAATATAGTCATATCACTAGTTGTCGGTGTTAAATGTAAATCACAATTGTTATCATCAGTTTTGCTATTCATATCACTTGTACATCTATTTTAAAGGTACGAAATTATCTTGTAATTGAAAAGTTTTAGTGCTGTAATTTCCGAGATTTTTATTTCCACCCAAAAACTTCTGATTTATTCGAACCAAAGATTAGACTTTAAACGTTTTTTTATTTGTTGTTTATCGGTGATAAAGATAACACAGTTATGAAGACTTGAACTATGGAAATTTTTTTTGCAACTCCAAAAATTCATTCCAATCTGGAGACAGCGAATAGACCATTAAACTTCCAAACTTTAAAATAATTTTCTTTGTCCAAATTTGTTGGTATGATTTTGATTTGAGGAAAATTAAGCACTTTAAATATTTTTTACAGTCAGTTGAAAGATATTTCAGTTCAATCAATCAGTGAAATATCTTAAAGTACAAAAGTAATATACAGCCTTTCTCTTTTTGATTTAGACATGTTGAGCTGCATGTATTGGAATTATTTTAAAATGTTTAAATCATAAGATACGCTAGTGCCATTTTTATTATAAAAGTTTGTTATTTTATTTTATTCTGTTTTTTGTTCATAACATTGAATTATGAATTCTCTAAAGACTTATCGCTGGGAATGCTTGTGAAATATTTGAAATAGCTGTACTACTGACTGCTTACTGATGACATTTGACTACGTAAAGAAAGAAAAAGCTATCTCGTCAACATTTGACACTTTTACAATCCAGTTGAGTTCCAAAATATGTACTTTATTCCCATAGATTTGACGTCATACAGAGAACTCATCATAGTTCTCGCTTTAGTCTCAGTTTCCCTGATTTTGTCTGACTGTTTAAGGAATTTAAACGATTCAGTGATGTGCTATTTCTTCCCACTTTATGTATCTTAATTTCAGAATGCTTTGTAATGAAATTTGATATTTTAGGGGGAGATGATACTGCTAATATATATGTATAACTCTGCAGAGTACTTATATATTACTTGCTGTGGGAAGCCTCAGCTTTACCTGTTTCCCTAACTTTTGTCCCACTCTTTTCTTAGAGTTGAAACTTCAAGACTTGAATAGTAGATTAGTTATGTCAAATTGTTTTGGAAATAGTACGTTGTTTTAAATGTTTTAAAACCAGAAAAAAATTTTCTTCTAGTAATATTTTTGTTGCAGCATGCGTCGAGGTCCAGTCGATAAGCTAAGCTATGCACCATCTAAAACGCAATTCAAGAAAGCAGTAAGTATAGAGATGCGAACCAACCAAGATTCTACAAAAGATTCGACCGAATTTGTTCCTCCCAGACAAATTTTAGGAAGCAATGCACTGAGAATTCCAAGAATCCCGAGATCACGTACATCTTTAAATGATCAATCATCACATGTGGAAACCTCTAACCAGAATGTTTTATTGAATCACGATAAATATTTTAAGTTTATCAAACCTAACAATTTACCATCGAAATCGGGAAATGATATGAAGACGAATTCAATTGTGAAAGCTTTCAAAGTACACTTGGAACCGAGAGCTACACAAACTGTCTCACCACCTGATAGGATTCGTCAACCCAATTCACCAACAGTAGCATTTACCGTGACAGATGAAATGCAGACTCTCAAGAAAGAAAATATCAAAGAAGCAAAAATCAAACCTACAATGAATATTTTCGTGAAGAATAATAGAGGTAATTCAAGAGTTTTCGAACTAATACAACTTGCAAATAATTTGCAGTGCTGCAACTCCCTTTCAAGTTCTGTTGTGATTGATGCAAATTCCTGCACTGCACTACCATTTCTCATTTCTTACCATTCAAGTTTTTTTAGAGTATACTTGCAGTAACTGTTTTTCTCTTTGCAAATTCTGTCCTGCATTTTTCAGATCACAAGAATTTTGTTTACAATTTTTTGCATAGTTAAATAACTATTTTAAATAAATACCGTACTTGTACACCGATATCCGTTAGATTTTTTCTTTTAGAGGAAGACGCTTACCGAATATCCGATGTGAAATTTCAACATAACAGAAATAATCATAAGCAGATGAAAGCGAAAAGCACTAGTCGACAAAGATCTTTTATACCACTCCACGCAACACCACTTCGAAGGTTACCTGCAAGAAAATCAGGTACCGAGATGGGCCAGGTACTTTCCATCTTGAAATTTTTTTCCATTTAGTATTGAAATCGAATTAGCAAAATGAACTACCTAACCCTCTATGAGATTGATATAGACTTCACGCTGGTTTACATAAAAATACATCTGTTGTGTATATTGCCTAACGTCATGACTTTTTCTTACAGGCACCTTTGGCGGAATGTGAATCGTCCCACATTGAAAATTCGCCAGCTGTTGAAGTGCCTCCCGTAAAATTCATTCCGGATAAAATTCATCGTATGTGCATAGAAGAAAGTTCGGAAGACAGAGTTACAGAATCACAATCATCCGATCCTAGTTCGTCAACAAACTCAATGAGAGGTTCCTTTCACCAAAACAAATATTTTGAGGCTTTGATTCGAAACATTGTCATTTGCCAAAAATAAATATTTTGAGATAGTATTATTGTAATAATCTGCAAAAAATCCGGCACTGCTCCGTATGGATGGTTATTGTATTCAGTACATTTCAAAAAAAATCGAATTATTTTTACCAAATTCAATTTTCTATCACTTGAAGAATCTTTTCTCATCTTTAATGATTTATCAAAATTTATCACGATTGTTTTATAATCTATTTAGCGGTTTTCAGAAATTTGCGTCAACCAATTTTTGAACAGTGAGTCGATTTACCACTGTGATAAGGCAACAAGGAAAGGGTCATTAGATCATAGAAGGAAGTAGGTAATCATGAAATCAGAAGTTATTCTCGAATTTCTCTTTCTCAAATCAGCAAATAAATTTCGAAATATAATGTCCGTTAAAATCTAAGAACTCACGAATTCTATTTAAGGAATGGCTCCACTGACTGCTCCTGTGATAATAATATTAAATCAAGAAGTAGTCCCAATAACTTCGTTTCACCAACCGCTATGACATCATCTGGATTAACAACATCTTCTGGTTTTCAAGATTCTTCAGAGAAATCTCCAGATAAGGATGCGGAATTGAATGAACAATTTGTCGATATGACCATCATCCAAAAGTTCGTCTTTACCGGGTATTTATTTCAATATGTATTCGTAAAATATAGCCATTCATTAAAAACAGAAATTTTTAGTTCTTATGTGTTTCGAATTTCTAGTTCTTATGTTTGTGGAGTGCTTAAATAGTATTCATTCAAGTAATATCAATAATTTCAAGAATTGCTGGTGACAATCTCAGCCAAAAAATGATTTTCAATCAGTGCAATTTTTTGGTTGCCATTCAACGTAATAAATGTAGCTGTTTATATGGCATTTAAATTCATGGAAAAGATTTTGTAATACTATATTTTTTATTCAAATTTTAAAATTTATCACAATATCCTGCAAAAACATTCTAACATAGCAGTTCTGAAATACCAAAAATATGATAAGTTTATTGTAGAAAATCTATCGTAGTAACTTTATCGACTGATTTTCAAAAACCATTTAACGTGATTTGATTTTTCTAACCAAATTCTAACCTTTTAGTAGTTGGATCTATCGATGACATATGTGTTATTTGATTAAAAAATTTTTTGCACCATCTTCAAACGTAACATAAAAATTGTGTTAAATGAAGTTTGAAACCGTAAACTGTGTCATCCATTGATCGATATTATCAATTATTCTAATATCTAGAGAATTTCATCCATTTATTCTTCCTCATTCAATTTATTCGCAATAGTTTGAACTTACGAAATTGTGATTCCAATTTGTAATTTGAATTGCAAAAGAACGAAACGAAAGAAACAGAAATTTTTTCGAAAGATTTATTCAGCAGTGCAATTTCTTGTTTTCCACTCTTTCTTCTTTTTCAATATAATACGAAAGCTTTCTTTCCGCATGAAATCAATATAAAAGGTTTCGTAGAGATACGTTTGTGTATTAACGATACATTAAAATGTCGTTGTACACATCTCACATAAATTGGAATGCCATTTCGGAACAATTTTTTAAGTGTGATTTTTTTAATGCATTTTAAAAATTTTCGAAAACAGTCTTGGTATTTTTTTAGTCTTAAAGTTTGTAGTAAAAATTTTGTGATAACCTCTGAAGGTAGATCATCGATAAGTGCTAATTTTTCAAATAAATTTATCGCTTCTCAAAACTCTCAGAAATTTTAAGCTTCATGTGAATAATCAAAGTGGAACTGGTTGGAGTGTTAAAGGAAGATTTAAGTCCGTGAGAATAGGCAGCGAGGAGGAAGACGGATAGAGTCAACGGATGATGACGCTATAAACGACGATGATAACGTTGGCGACGACGACAACACCCCTTCCCCTCCCTTGCTCTTTCTCTACTTTTCTATTTCGATATGTATGATGGAGCAGTTTGTGTGAATGGTACCGGTGGGGCTATGCTGTGATGGCCGACTGCCTACTTCTAAACACGCTGATCAAATCGGTGAGGTGAGCTCGCTCTTGCTTTCCTTTCCTCCATATATTCATTCATCTATCTGTCCATCCCAATAATCCTTCCCGTTCTCTTTCATTACTTCCTATTCATCCTAAACTAAGTTAAGCTATAGTAGCCACGCTGTACCCATCAGTTACATACATTTTCTATTCTCATCTCACTCCATCAATTATGTCATCCTATTTTAAAACTCAATCATTTTGTCTTAGTCAAATAATATATATTTAATTGCTGTATTACTCATTCGTCTCTAAGCTACCGAAAGTGATATTGAAAATTTTTTGTATTTCAATTACGTCAAATTAAGTATTTTGCTTAATTTTTCCCTTTACAATAAATCATCTTTTTTAGCTTCTTACTTTTGTTCCTTAATTAATTTCCTTCGCCGTGGATTTTTTTTCTTCTACTTTTCGTGATAGCTTCAAAAATCACTTAAGGCAGTAAAGTGAGGCGGCATGCCATCTACACGGGCTGTGGGTATTCATCATCCTTGCTAACCTTAAAGGTTATTTCCTACCTTAAGCCACCTTTTGAATTAGTTATTTCAGATTGTACATCTAAGCATTAGAAGGTGTTGTTGTAAACAATGGTTTAGATCAACGCTTTTCTATTTCACTCGAAGAAGTTCGACTAGTTTTCTTGATAAGTGCATTGAGGTGGGAGACTGAAAGTGTGCTAGCTATTTCCAGTTGGTTAGTGATTCAAGAAACTATTGCTTTTTAAATGTTTAAGTTTTGTTTGGAACTATGATATGAAAGATCTTAGGCTTATGTTAAATTTAATTTAATGACTCCCATTGAATGACATTTTTTATTCAATTAAAAGTCTCATTTAGTCCTAATTTCTTCATACTTCTCTCCAAAGGATGCAACCCCCATTTCCATCAACAAATTTTCTACTACTTCAATTAAATTTATTTTTTGTTTATAGGACTTAAAGAGTTTGCAAGTTAAAAATCACGGCATCTTTTATTATCTTCAATATTATTATGAAATTCTATAATCTTTGCTATATGTCTAGACATCCTTGATAAAAGGTAACTTTTATTCCTTCTACTTCTTGAAATTCAGGGATAAATATGAGGGAGAAGATAGCTTGTATTTGAAGTAATAAGGGAAGCTATAGGTCATAACTTTGTGAAAACCACCTCATCAAGTCTTACATACTTTATTGTATTTATATTCAAGAATATCAAGAATAAGATCTACCAGATCTGCGTGCTGTTGTCAGAAATGCTTTTGATTTGGTTTCATTTGGTTTCATTTAATGGACTGTGGGAATATGATTCCTTTTTAGTGATAAATAATGGTTGTTCTATGAACTTGTTATTCTTGTAGATATGTTTTGTCCAAGAATTTCAGGGCGGGTCGATCTCGTTCACGACGGCCATCATCACGCGATCATGATCAAGGACCGGTTGCTTCACCAAATTCCGTTTCAGCTCATTATAAGTATGGTGTATTTTAATTTAGAATTATCTCATTTTCCCAAATGTAAACGTTGAGTTTAATCCTATTCCAGCTGCCTTATTGCTCTTTTTATTTTCTATTAGTAAGCATATACATATATTATTAACTTGAAAATAATTTTGTGTAAATGAAACATTTGAAATCACTAAAAAAATTTCATATTACTGACTCAATGGAAGGTATATCATATCTTGATAGAAATGGTTTTTCTTCATTGCAGAAATTCAAACGTATGCTTTTGTTAATTTTCTATTTCTGATAAAAATATGGAATTTTATCACTGGTTAAAATTTTGATTTCGATTTTATCTTTTCTTATAAACTGTATCCCATAGTTTTCAATCAAATTCAAAATTCTTGTAGTAATTCTGCGTTTTTCTACAGGAATCAAAGATACGATAAAGCACTGGTCAGTGAAAATAAGATGGTTGCATTTCCTAGCGTAGCGATGTACGAATCATCGTGTAATGATGTTGTGTACATAAAAAGTCAATTGCTGGAATTGAGGAGATTAATAAATGCATGTTTATCGTTCTAGTAATTATTACTGTTACTATAACGCCTATTTTTTCATTGGTTTTTTAAATTTGTTGGCCAAGAAAATAGAGCCGTTTAAATATTTTAGCAGTTTATAATCTTTTTTTTTTAAATTTTTGATTGAATATCATATAACTAATTCATTTTTCCACACCATCGATGTGGTACACATCACAAGCATGATATTCTATCATAAGCTTAGCTATTCATGTAACTCCATCTTATCATTCTTTTATTAAAAATTCAATTAGTGTATCTATTAATGAATCACTATATTTTTTCAGGATTCATCAGAAGCAGAAGGCGCAAACAAGTCGACCCAAATGGTATGTTTCCCTACTTTCTTTGCTTATTGCAATTTTTCTTTACAGTTATCAATGAATACAATGAGCTTTTTGAAAATTGATTATTCCAGAAAATAGAGGACAGCGATGTTATACAGCGACTCCTTAAAGAAAATGATGCTTTGCGTAAGGAATTGGTGGAAAAAGATAGAACAATTAGTAAGTTAAAAGCTGAGATGCTACTTCATTGATTCTTTGATTGACTGTGATTTTTTGCCTGATACCGTATGTGTCTTATTAGATTTAACTTTTTCGCTTTCATTTTTCATCTCACTAACTGTTAGCTATTAAGAAAAGTATCCCGTTATTGGTATTCTTTAAAAAAAGCTGGCATATTGAGAATAATAAGTTGAAACTGAGAGCGATTAATTTTATCCGATTTTGAGTCTATTTTCTTTGAAACAAAAGGCTGTAAAAACGCTTAATAAACTATTATCACTGCTTTTGTTGTGAAGCAGAATCCTATTTGGTAGTGATATTTGAATGCAAGTTCAAAATTAAGAATCTTATGAAAATGGTTTTCTATTTTTCGGAAGTCCAGAAATAATTATTAGGTGAACAGATTTGTATAAATCCATGGCGTGCGTTACGCTGTGCATCACTGCATCACTGCATCACTGAAAACTATTAACGAGACATTTTGATTTTGTTTCTGTAAGATAACAAATCTACTTAGAATCAAATTATTCTTCATATCAGTATGCGTAAAAGTAGATTTAGTAGTTGTAATTGTTGGGAGTTTAGTTGAACATTAGAAATTAGAAAAATTTAAAAGAATGAGTGAAAGGAGACGGAGAGAATATTTAGTTTAAGAGGAGCCACACGATTCTATTCAGCGAAACTTTGAGCATACAATTTTCCCAGCTTAAAAAAAATTGGCCTGTGAAGGGGATTCCTGGAATTTCTGAGGTATATTAAAATCATCTTAATGTCTAGCCATTTTAATGTAATTGTTCATTGTTTAAAGTTCATTTTTTGCAATTCAAGAGCCATGCTTTGTGGAATCAGGATTTTGATATTTTTTGGAAGTAAATTAAATTAATGAAATGGATTAATGAAAAAAAAGTATTATTTGCTTTGCATTTTTACATGTCTAAGAATGATGTTCATACTCAATCATTTGATTTAAAACCTGAATAACGATGCTAGCAAACTTTTCAAAATCTTTAAAAGGATAAACTACTTATTCAAAAGGATTATGTGTGCTGATTGCATGATAATCATATACTATCTATCGAATAATGATATGGAATTAAAAAATAGTAGATTTGCTTTGTCGGTCTTTATTCTAAACTCCCAAACTGCTACATCTTTGGAAGCTCATTTTAGAGCCTTTTCTTCTAGCATGGGAATACAGGAAATCTTACACATAACCAATCGCTCAATCGGTAAACAATTAAAATGCGTTAAAGAACACATTCCAGAAAAATGCGAATTGAAGGAGATCCGCAAACATCAAAGGATGGGTTGGAAGCAAAGCAAAAAGGTTTAAGCAAAGATAAAATGATCAATCAATGGGTGAACAATTAAAATTCAGTAGTTCTGGAGCTTGAGACAATTTGCATTGCAAGTAAAGGATCGACGAGCACATTTTTCCAATCCATCCTCATTGTGCAACTTTTAATAATACAAATCTCTATTTGTGCGTTATTAATTTGTCAAAAGTGCACATTTACGCTATTTTAAGCGATATAAAATCTGCATTTAAGAAAAAAGTACATCAATCTTTATGATTTTCAACTTATTGAATGTGCGAGATTTTTGTGCTTATCTTTCAGTACTAGGTTATTTTAGAGATAAGAGCGTTCAATATCAGTAGAATCCGGACTTTAAACTTTGCAGTTAAGGTTTCTTGTCCATATTGAAGAATTCACGATATTATGATTTCCTTCTTTAGAAAACAAATTATGAAAAAGTTGGGGACGATTTTATCGATTCCAGCATGGATTCATTTAAAAGTTGAACATTATCCATAAAACTCTCACTTTAATGAATTTTCTAGGAAAAGCTATATTCTTAAAAAATTATTTTTGGTTTTTCATCAAGAGAATGTTTTAACCTAATGAAGATTGATTGCGGTAGAAGAAGAGATTGCTTCCGAGATAATATCACTGCAGTACAATTCTAACTTCTTTCCAGTATAAGGGAATTTAATAATTAATGCTGTACTGGGTGAAAAGATGGATTAGTAAAGCAAGAATAGAATGGAATTACCTGATCGGAAGCCGCATCGACTCTAACGATGAATGTAGTAAAATTTCTCATAGTAATAAATTGGTGTAAAGTAAATAAAAACTAATGCAAATGATTTTAATTAAATTCACATGCAAAATTTTATATTAACTTGCATTCTTCAAGTAAGAAACACTTTCGCATTTACCATTTTAGATTACTTTCTTATGTCATAAAAAATTAATTCCCCATGCATACAAGTCTTTCGTTAACTTCTAATCTGTTTCCAGATCTAGTTAATCAGTATATAAGGCCATTATTGAATAGGCTAAAATAATCATATATTAGCAAAATTGAGTTAAAAGATAAATTCAATACGTGCAAAAAAGTCTGCATTAGTTTATTTGAAATAACACTTCAAAAATTTTTTCCAACTAGAATATGACATTATTTATTCGCTATCAAGTCAATGATCTTAGTTTGTTACGTTAGCCAGAAAAAAGAAATAAACGATTGTTGCAAGGTGACTGAAATCAAGAAAAGAAAACGGTAATAGAAGTCTAATTGGATTTAAATTATAATTGGTGCCAAATTTGTTACTTTAAAAGACCGAATATGATAACAAATAAATAAAATAATGGATGTTGTTGTATTCATCGGTTTTATTAAGGTATTGCTTTTATACAGCGATATTTTCAAAGCGACCAAGACTAAATATATTTCGAACTCTCGATGTTCAAGTATTTATTTATACACCAGGAACATTTCGGTAGCATGAAGTTTGATCCTGAACAGCAGCAGCCTCAATGTTCTCATCTCATTCCTGCTGTATCCCTTATACTTCCGTTCCAATGATCGAAAGCTATTTTTGTTTTTCTGATTATAAATCAAATGATCTATCTACGGTTCTGTCATTTATATGACAAAAAATCAAAATTAATTAGGTTTACCATTCCATCTTTTAGATATTACTTATGCGCAACCAGATGTCTAGCATAATCATTTCAAGCCTGATCCAACATATTTGAATTCCATTTTCATCTTTATTGAATCTTATTGGGTTATAAATACTATACTAATCGAAGAAGCAATATGTTCTTTGAACAATGAAGGGACACTCATGATTATATATCACTCGTCTGCAGGATAGATCATTTTCCCTGTTACAATATTAGTGTGATGTATCGCACATCCGTTTTTATATTCTTTATTCAACAGTTGTTCTTTGTTCTTGCCTTCATCATTAACCACATTTCACTTCTGTCCAGCTGATTTTTATGATTCATGTCATTAAAGAAATCGTTTGAGATAAAGCACTAAACATGCACACGATTCTCTATTGCAACCACATTTTACAAACATTGCAATAGTATGATACTAATTATGGTCCTGATCTTAATTTTAATCCACCATTTGTTAGTCACTTCACCATTAATAAGCTGTTACTGGTGAGTAAGCTGCTTATGCATACAAAATTCGATAGTTGAGAATTTTTCAACATTATGTTATCGAATAGATTATTCATCATACAGAATTGTTCTGAAAACAACCTAAACAAAAATTTCTTTATTCGACAGTTCTTCGTTAGAACTTACAAATCGACTGACTTTCTTTCAAATGAATGGCCAGAAATATTCATTCATTCATTCAAGAATAATAAAACGGGTTTTGATCCTCAATTAGGCATTAACTTGTTTCATTCTGATTCACTTTAAAACACTGAGGAAGTTTTTGTAACAACTCGAAAAATTCTTATTCTTCATCTTTCCGCAATTCGTGGTCATAATTTCAGGTACATATTGTAACGTTAAATGTAATAAGCTGGAAATTCAGTTAGTGCCAGCTTCGAGTTTTCGAAAAGAAGCGAGAGTTGGCAACAGTGATTAAGCTGAAATGTTTTATCAGGATAGCCGAGAATCAATTTCAACATGGGGAGGAGAGTTTGCAGAATTTGACATGCATTTATCTTGAAAATGAATCGTCCAATTCTCCTTTCTCACTTCACCCTATTTCAAAACTTCAACAATTTAATACTTCCCATTGAGATATCCCAGTTCATGAAAATTTCCAAAGTATCGTAAGTATATGTAACTTTCGGCGAACAAAGCTACTTATTTCACTGCAAACCAAATATATCGAAAAAAATATTCATTAAATTTCGAGCGATAATTTGGATTCATCCCATCCACGTTGAAAAATGTTTATGCTGAAAGCAGAACTTCATTTAACTACTTTTAACTGAAGTTTTTACTCCCTTATTTCTCATTTCACCGTGCATTTAGATATTCGGAGGAAATTATATAACTTCGATACGAAGCAATTTGATTTAACTTTTGACTTAAAATTTTAGGTAATTGGCTAATTTACTCGATTATTGGCCAATTAACCTTGCAAGTGCTTGCTGTTTTGTAACTTCTTAATTTAGGAAAATTTGTAGATGCTTTTCCCAATTCTCCTGTCTTCTTATTTTAAGAACATGTGTGGCCGGCAATTTTATGATAGCCCGTGTTTATTACAACTTCTGTTACAAAAGATTAGATGCTTTGCAAAAGACCATAACCTTGTTTTCGATTGGAAACCTTAGAAAAAATGTTTTCACTTTTTGTCCTCCTGATTATTAATCCGACTAGTATGTGGAAGTTTTATTCCCACATAGAGATCACACCAGTAATTGAATTTATAAAATAGTTTAATTACAACATTTTCATATAACTGTCGGTTTCAGGGGCACCTTTTTTATCTGCCGGATGAGCTGAACTAAGATTCTAAGATTTCATATTGGAATTCGTCATTCCTTTGGATACCCCAAAATATAAATAATTCTCACTCCAAAATTTTCTGATAGATGATGTTGGGCTTATTTATCTGAATGGTCTTTTCCACACCTTTAAGCCCACCATTATTAGGTAAATTGTTGGACTTGAGTTTTAAATTTTGTAGTTCAGGAAAACATAAAATTCATTTCACTATTTTGCAAGAGAGATTTCGTTGCAGTTTTTTTTTCTGCCATCTGTCGTTG